AGAAAGGCCAGTAGAGAGTGTGTGCATAACCATCCGTGGTGTTTTATGTTGGGAACTAACACCTGTGAGGTATTTTTACATTCATGGCTATATTTGAGGAAAAGTGAAATTCTCACAATTGTCCCTTCCTATGGAGACCATTTTTATTCACAGCATGGTCTGTAGACTGAAGCAACATTACCCACCATTCCAATTGCTGGAGTGCAGCAATTTCCAGGGGCATATGATTTCCAATGCTAAAACTAGGTGGTCCTGGGATGAGCTGGTCGTCCTAACCAGCAACACCAACAGGACCTGGGGGCTCATTTGATACGAGAATCCTGGGTCTCAACCTGGATTAGTGAATCAGGATCCATACCTGATGATGATTGTCGTCTCAATCAGGTCAGAGGAGCATTTCTCCAGACTAGGCATTGGTTTAATGGGTTAAGGAAGTCTCCTACATTAGTCAGGGTTCACCAGAGAAACTAATCAATAGTGTGTACACACACACACACACACACACACACACACACACACACACACACAGATGTATCTTAAGGAGTTGGTTCATACAATCATAGTGACTTCACCTAATTGGTGAAGATAGCAAGCAGGCTGTCCACCCAGGAAGGCGTTGCAGTTCAAGTTCAAAGACAATGATGCCAAGACTTTATATTTTTGAATACAAACTTTTTTCAATGTATATTTTTATTGAATTTGTGTGAAATTTTTAAAGTTTTATTTCCATCTTATGGGTATGAGTGTATTGCCTGCATGTATGTAAGTGCACCCGTGTCGTGCAATGCCCATGGAAGTCAGAAGAGGGAGATGGATCCCTTTAACTGGAGTTACAAACAGTTGTTAGTCACCATGTGTGTTCTAGGAATGGAACCTGGGTCCTCTGCACGTGCACTCTTCAAGTGCAGCCAGCCAGTGCTCTTAACTGCTGAGCCATCTCTCTAGCCCCTGAATTTGTGTGAATTTCATACAATACATTTTAATCATATTTAGATCCCCCTCCCCATCTGCATCCCCCCATAGCTCACCTAGAGGATATCACGCATTGTGTCATGTATGTTATGATCTATCGAGTCAAGTTTGTGTACCCAGATATCCCCCGGTGTGAGTTCATCCATTCACTGGAGCCTGTTCAACCCCTCTCAAGTCACTCCCTTAAAGAACACCAAACACCAACTTTCCCTCACCCAGCAGTGATCAGCTGCCAATAGTTCCTCAGCTAAAGTTGGGGCTTCTTGCCCATTTCCCCAGTTCTATGCTGGATTTTTGTCTGGTTTGACTTTGCATGGGTCTTGTGCATGCTGTTACCATTGCTGTAAATTCAGATAAGCAAATTCCCAGAAGCCTGGAAAACTCTGTTTCCCTGTGGTCATCCACCACTCCTGGCTCTTACATTCTGCCCTCTCTTCCTCAATGGTCCCTGAGCCCTAGATGGGTGAGGTTTAGTATAGGAGTCCTATCCAAAGACATACTCTACAGTCTCTTACTCTCTACATTTTGGCCAGTTGTAGCTTTCTGTGTTAATCATCATCTGTTGCATGAGGAAGCTTCATTGGTGAGAGCTGAGAGATGCATTAGTATTATCTCTACCCCTTGTTCCACTATGCTCTGTTACCTTAGGTGTAGAGGTTCCATTGTAGATGTATCACTTAGGGATGGGCATCTCACACTTAATCTCTGTGTTGGATCAGTTGTGGAATTCTGTAATAGTGTCTACCTGTTGCAAAAAGCTTTTTTGATGAGTGGTGACAACTATACTTGTCTGTAAATATAAGGATACATATTTAGCAGATAGTAAGAAAGTATGTTTGTCTAGGGATGTGACATGTAGGATTTCCTCTAGGATCTATGACCTCTCTAGCCACGTGTATTTGGCTATGTTTACAGTACTACCCATGAATTCCCTCCCATTGATTGGGCTTTAAATCCAATTAGATAGCTGTTGATTACCCCCAAGATAAAAGTGCCACTACTCCACAGATAACTTGCTGTGTTGGTCACTGTTGTGGTTATTAGGCTTTAAAGCTGGGGTTGGACCACTGATTGATTTTCTTCCTTGGCAACTTGCATGGCATCCTTTGAAACTACAAGAGCTAGTCTTTAGGGAGGAGGCTTCTGGGTCAGTTCCAGTTCTGTTGCACAAAGTTCTATGTCTGAAGTATGTTCTGTGTTTAGCAATATAGTCTTACCTTCAAGTTCTGGGAGGAAATCAAGGGCTGTGGCAATATCCTGTGTTGTTTGGGGAGTCTCTTGGACTACCCTGACCAACAACTCAAAGGGATGTTTCTCCTGTTTGGTACTGTGTTTCTTGTTATATAGCTTACAGCTATACACATGCACTTATGTACAGATATTGTACATATATTTTTCAGTAGGTTTTTGAACTAATATATTTTCCTCTGATTTTTTCCTACCATGTAAACATTATCTCTCCTCTCTTCCTGTCTAACCTCTGTTCTCCTTCCCCAGTTAAAATACCCCATTTCCCCCATTTCCCCCTTGATAATACCTGTCTCCTATTATCCTCCTTCTCTTGAGCTCTTTCTTCCCCTTTACCCCCATGGTTTCTGGTATAACCCTGCCTCCTCCCTTCTCAGTTAAACACCTCCATTTTCCCCATTTCCTCCTTGGTAACATTTATCTCCTACTATCCCTCTCTCTCAGGTTCCTTCTTTCCCTTTACCTCCATGGTTTCTTTCTATTTTCCTGGCTCCTGCAGTTACATCAGGACATATACTCACATATAAGTATTTTGTGGTAGGATCCATAAATGAGAGAGAACATATGTCACTTGTTTTTCTGAGTCTGTGTTACTTCACTTAGTATAACAGTTTCTAGTTCCATCTATTTACCTGCAAATTTCATGATTTCGTCTTTTTTTTTTTTTCCTGCTGAATAGAATTCCATTGTGTAAATGGTGTAAATATTTCCATTATCCATTCGTCAATTGAGGGACATCTAGGTTGTTTCCATTTCTTAACTATTGTGAAAAGAGTAGCAACAAGCATGGATGTACAGGTATCTCTGCAGTAGAATGAGTCCTTTGGGTATAAGCCAAGGAGTGGTATAATTGGGTCATATGGTAGGTTCATTTTTAGTTTTTTAAGAGTTCTCCACACTACTTTAAATAGCAGTTGTACCAGTTTGCAATCCCACCAGCAGTGAATGAGCATTCCCCTTTCCCCACATCCTCGCCAGCATTTGGTGCCATTGTTCTCCTGATCTTAGCCCTACTGACTGGGGTAAAATAAAATCTTAAAGTGGTTTTGATTTGCATTTCCCTAATCACTACAATGTTGAACACTTTTTAAGGTGTTTCTTAGCCATTTTCATTTCTTCTTCGAGAACTCTCTGTTCATATCCATAGCCCATTTAATTGGGTCATTTGTTTTCTTAATTCTTTGTTTTTTTTTTTTTTTTGAGTTCTTTGTATAGTCTGTTTATTAATCCTCTCTCAGATGGGTAGCTGGTGAAGATTTTCTCTCTGTGGATTTCTTCTTCACTGATTGGTTATTTACTTTGCTTTTTAGTTTAATGAGGTCCCACTTGTTGATTGTTGACCATAATTCCTGAGCAACTGATGTCCGATCTAGAAATCACTGATATTACCCAATCGGATATTAAACAACGAAAGCAGAATATATACCTACAAGTTATGTGATCCCAATCCTGAAACATGCACATAAAAATATGGCTGAAAACAAATCCCAAATTGTTATGGGTGAATTTTTTTCCAGTTGATGTTATTGCGAATTACAATTACATAGCATTTCAGTTTCTATACAGCAAAATCAATAATGGAGTCCATAGCTCAAAGTCACTATGATTATGAAATCAAACAATAAGTTTCATTTGTTTGATATAAAAAAGAATGCGTTTTTATCCATTCCTCATTTCTAATGGGATTTTGGTCCACTTTAAAAATTTGGTTATAGCTGGGCGTGGTGGCACACGCCTTTGATCCCAGCACTTGGGAGGCAGAGGCAGGCAGATCTCTGTGAGTTCGAGGCCAGCCTGGTCTCCATAGTGAATCCAGGCCAGCTAGGGCTACAGGGAGACCCTGTCTCAAAAAACACCAAAACAAAAACCCAAGAGGTTCCTAAGTACCTTCATAATAGAGCCAGCTGTGTCAGTCTAGTGTAGAGGGTCCAGCCCTCCTTCTTCCTCCTCTTCCTCCTCCTCCTCTTCCTCCTCCTCTTCTTCCTCCTCCTCCTCTTCCTATTTTGAGACAGTGTTTCCAGGCTGACCTCAACCTTGCTTCACACTCTGAAGTGCTGTGAGATTACAGGCATGCTCCACCACACCCAGTAAGGCAGATATTGTTTTAATTATAGCTTTCCTTAAATGGAATGTGAAGCTGTGTGTGATAGGTAAGGCTGAGTGCAGTAGGTGACTGCAGAGTATTTACCAATGAAATGGAAGACAGTGTTGAACAGTACGCAGATCACTACCCAGCATCCCTTTGGGTGGGGTTGGGGGGTCCCTGGATGCTAAAAACACAAGGTGCATTCTTTATAAATGGTAACATATTTTCTAACCTAATGTAGCTTAGGTAAATATAACAATTTGACTTTCTTTAAGTCTCATTAAACTAAAGACTAAATATCTTGAAGTTTTGGGTGATTAAGGAATCCTAAAAATTCCTCCTAAAGTAATCTCTTTATTGCTTTGCATAGTAGTATTATATTAGTCGATGTTCTGAATGTACCTGTGTATAAAACAATCTGAAAAAGGCAGTTGAGATTTTGATTAGATATCATTGGGTTTATATTCATAAACTCAGAAGAAATTTTTTGATTGGAAAATAAAATCACTGGATAGAGCTGTACATGAAGAACAGGGAAGTAACACTCGGTGCCAACTCTCCTCCCCCTTGAGAGCCACTGTCCAGGTATACAGGAAGAATTTAAAGCCATATTTTTTTAACCTTCCTTTTCAAAGAGGTGGAGCTTAAGATTTAATCTTGAACTCAGCTGTTTATTAGTGACCATTCTGTGGCAGCTAAACCAAGAGAACAGACAGCTACTCAGCACAGTGACTCAAACCACACCCTGGGGAGACGGTTTGTGCATCAGGATGGAAACCCACAGGTATCTCCATAGGGAGTCGTGCTACACAGGACCTCATGTGAGTAACACAGCCCCCCAGAGCATGATTGCCATTGCTGCCAGACACAAAGGTGATCCAAGGAGGAAGAGGGAAGGGCTGCCTTCAAGTCTGTCACAGCCATCATTTTAAAATTCTTTCCCCACCCCCCGCTCACTCCAGTTAGTCATTCTATGGTTTCGGTCTGTTTCTCAGTTACTGTGTAGAACTCGTGGTGTCTTTGCATTGGCAGACAGAAAGCTAAAAACAAACTCTTTTCTCTGGATTTCTTGCTTTCATCAGATAAAACAAAATTTTAAAAAATTCTCTGCTTTATAAACACAGTTTATTTCCAAAAGGTACAATGTTTTCTGTAACTTAGATCTTTTCTTTGCTTTTGAAACATTACATGTAGACCTGCTTAGCTTATACCTCTCCCTACTGCCCCCTGCTACCCAGTTATCAAATGACCACATGGGAGGGGGTTGCATTTTTTTTCAGTTAAATGATGATGTCTAAACCAAAGTAAAAGAGAATTACTATGCTTATCAATATCTAAATATGCCACACAGTATGTTGTATTGAAATGGATTATTTAGGCTAAGTTTTTATTGAGGCCTTTGAACAGCCAGATGCTTTAGAAATCATCGTCACATTTCAATTGGACATTTCCATTTAAAGATCAGCTTTAGTTAACGAATGGCTTCTAAGAGCTTTTCAGGGGAAGGAAGGAGACTAGCATGGGGGTGTGGAGGAAAAGGAAGGAAAGGTGTGTGGGGGTGAATATGACCAAAGTCCATGACACACTGGAAACTTTATGAAACCCATCACCATGTACCATGAATATATGCCAATAACTTTTTTTTTTTTTTCGGTCTTTTTGAGACAGGGTCTCCCTTGTAGCCCCAGCTGGCCTGGAATTTATGTAGACCAGGCTGGCCTTGACCCTACAGAGATCTGCTTGCCTTTGCCTCCTGAGTGCTGGGACTAAAGTTGTGCACCACCATGCCTGGTTCACCAATAAACGGTTTTGAAAAGAACTAAGAAACCAGTTTAAAAAAAAAAAAACTTTTTCAATTAGCTTTTTGTCCTTCACTTCAATATGGTTTACATCTATCTGTATCATTAATACAGTAAGACTCAATTTCAAGTTTTCTTCCATGAAAACATATTTTTTTGTTCAGCAGTGTAGTTATTTAAATTCAGGGCTAGACTTTCTGAGCTTCTTGCTAAAACTTCTAATTTCCCCTCTCATATCTTCAGTGAAATTTACTAAGCAATGGTTATCTATAATCACAAGGGCAAGAGTGACTCTAACCGCTGTTCCTATTTTTATATCTTTTTTAACTGCAGTTTGAAATTACCATTTCATTCATCTGCCTCAACATTTGGTGGTTTCTGTGACCACACCAACTCTGAATTTCTCTGTGTGAATTTCAAGTGACCTTCAAAGGGTTCTCAGTAATCCAACTGTATTTTCCCAATTTCCTCAGCAAAACCTTCTCCCAATAGGTGGGGTTCACTGAATTCTCTCATAAAAAACTATATTCACAGGGTTTCATAGCCTACAGAATAAGAGATAAAGGACTGAGAAAAGCCAAAGGCACCTCCCAGGGTATTGGGTAGATTAGAGTGCCATTTGCTGAGAATTGTAATGGTGGAGCACACCCAGGTTTTTGAGGACCAAGAAAACTTTATTTGGGTCAAGTTGATCTGCAGTGCCTGTGGGACAGTAGCTAGTTAGTGGGTTTGGAGTGAGAAGGCTCAGCTAGATATTCACATTTAGAGATAACTTTAAATTATGATTGAGCTACACAGGCAAACGAGTTCAATTCTGAAATGACAGGTAAGGAAAGCTAAGTACAGAATCCTAGGAGACAATTACTTTTACCAGGGATTTAGGAAGTGCAAGCCAGAGAGATTAAAGGTAGATGGGTAATCAGGCATCCTGGAAACCCAGGAAATACAATGTTTCCAGAACGAGGCAAAAGCTTGGGTGTGGTGGTGCACACCTATGGTCTCCATCCCTGCACCCATCCCTGCACCTGGGAAGCAGAGGCAGGAGGACTTGCGTTCACATCATCCTTGTCTCCATAATGAACCCAGACCAGCCTGAGCTATATGGCAGCTGTCTCAAAAAAGAAAAAACAAAAAAATTAATAAATGACAATATAAAGAAAAGAGTAAGTGAAGAGAAGCTAGAGAGCAGAAATGGTAGGTGCTTGGGCTGTTGGAAAAAGGAAGTTAGAATGAGGAACCATGGCTGGAAAGCACGACTCAGTGTTTAACATAAAGTACCACAGATGAGGGTTTCCTCAGAACTTTATGGCTTATTAAATTAAATAATGTTTGAATCTAATTGCCTCAGACCACACAACTGCTATATATAAGAAACAGTTGCATATAGTATCCACAGGGGCATTGGTGCCAGGATGTCTCAAGGGTATCAAGGTCTATGAGTGCTCAGGTCCCTTATAGAAAATGATATAGTATTTGCATATAACCTTCTTCACACAGCCTCTTATATAGTTAAAGCATCTCTATAGTACTTATAGTACTTAATACAATGTAAACAGAATGTAAGTAGTTGCCTCAGGGTATTATTTAACAAATACTAACACAGAAAGAAGTTCATGCATTTCACTACAAACACATTTCTTTTCTGAATATTTCTATCTATACTTCTTTGACTCCATGGATGCAGAACTTGCAGATACCAAAGGCTATTTTACAAAAGAGTTCAAATTGACCTAAAGTATTACTAACTGGAAGTCAGGGGCAGAGAAATCCAGAGAACTGAATATTTATCTATACTTCTTTGACTCCATGGATGCAGAACTTGCAGATACCAAAGGCTATTTTACAAAAGAGTTCAAATTGACCTAAAGTATTACTAACTGGAAGTCAGGGGCAGAGAAATCCAGAGAAATGGGGGTGGTAAGAAATATAGTTAGATGCTTTAGGCTAAGAGTGAACAGTACATCTCAAAAAAATATATAAAGTTAATGGAATTGGCTGGGTGTGGTGGCACATGCCTTTAATCCCAGTACTCGGGAGGCAGAGGCAGGTGGATCTCTATGAGTTCGAGGCCAGCCTGGTCTACATAGTGAGTTCCAGGCCAGCTGGGGCTACAGGGAGACCCTGTCTCAAAAAGACCCAAAAAAAAAAAAAAAAAAAAAAAAAAGAAAGAAAAAGTTAATGCAATTGATCATACCTGTGACAAATCTGTATTTCTAACCCATATCTACCTTCAGATCCTTCATCTTATGAAAATATTCCACAGGTTCTGAAAAGTTTACAAATCCAAAACTAGAGTGCCTGTCTTCTCATTTATAGATCATCCCCAAATCTGTCTTCTGGTTTAGATAACAGCATTTCCAGTCACTCAGTGGGAACCGTGGTCACTCATCCCATCCTGTCATCTCTACCACCAGGTTCTAGCCATTCTTTCTCCACATTCTTTTGATTCCATTCTCAGGATTTATCTCCTCCCCTTCCTCCTCCTCCTCTTCCTCCTCCTCCTCCCTCCTTGCCTTCTCCCCATTTGCCTCTCTCTTCCCTTCTTCGCTCTCTTTTGAGACAGGGTCTCACTATGTAGTCCATGCTGTCCAGGAACTCACTGCAGTCTTCCGGCTTCAGGCTCTCAAGTGCTGGGATCACAGGTGTGTGCCACCGCATCTAGCAGGACTCTTCTTAATTCCTGCTACTATCATTCAGAAATACCATTCCTAATTTGGTATCTCTTCCTCTAGTCCCTCCTTCTCTTCCCAGTCCATCACCCATAATTCTAAGGAAATCTAATCATGTCACTTTCCTGACTAAATTCTCCTCAGTTGCAGTGGGGAGAAAGTTGGCCCTTCTTGGCATGTTATGCAGGCTCTTACTGACCTGGCCGCACTCCATCTCTCAGCCGTATCTCATTACTTTCTGCCTCCACACATCTGCCTTTATAACAGTACTGAATTTCTCCTTGTTCTCCACCTCATTACAATGTTTTATGCTTGATTCATTTTAAAGTTCATTTTAAAGACTGGGCAATAGAGAGTATTGTGGGCTGATAAGACGGCTGTGCAAGCCTGATGACTAGATCCCATGCTGGAAGGAGAGAACCAGTTTCCAAAAGCTGTCTTCTGATTTTCACGTGTGCCATTTGCACATACAAATATGCACACAAACAATAATAAATAAAAAATCTTCATCAGAGAGGTCATTCTCTTCTTTGATTAGTCTTACTTATTTTTATTTTTTTGGTTTTTTGAGACAGAGTCTCCCTGTAACCGCAACTGGCCTGGAACTTGCTATGCGGATCAGGATGGCCTTGATCTCAGAGAGATCTGCCTGCCTCTGCCTCTTGAGTACTGGGACTAAAGGTGTGCACTGCTACGCCTGGCCCAGATGCTTAGTTTTTTTGGAGCCCTTTTGAATGGGATATTTTTCTTAATTTCTTCTGAGAGTGTACTGTTGGTATATATGAAGGCTACTGTTTTATATAGGGAGATAGATAGATAGATGATAGATAGATAGATAGATAAATAGATAGATAGATGATCGATTGATAGATGGATGGATAGATGGATGAATGGATAGGTAGATGATAGATTTTAGTATCCTATGAGTTTACTATGTGTTTATTAGATCTAGGAGTTTTCTAGTAGATTCTAATAGGGATTTTTAGCTGGGCATGTTAGCACACGCCTTAATCCCAGTGCTTGGGAGGCAGAGGCAGGCAGATCTCTGTGAGTTTGAGGCCAGCCTGGTTTACATAGAGAATTCCAGGACAGCTGGGGCTACAGGGAGACCCTGTCTCAAAAAGACAAAAAAAAAAAAAAAAGATAGGGATTTTTAAGTATGAAATCATGTCATCTTCAAATAGGAATCGTTTGACTTCCTTTTCTAATTTTATTCCTTTTATGTCATTCTCTTGTCTAACTGCTAGAGCTAAGACTATATTGAAGAGAGGGGAGTGGCCATCCTTGCCTTGTTTTTAGGGGAACTATTCCCAGTGTGTCTCTATTTAATATAATGTTGGCTCTAGGTTTATA